GAAAAACTAAGTCCAAGGTTCTATGGCCTTTAAAAGGTGCTTGAACATATAGGGGCAGTTGCTTACAAGTTAGAACTTTCTGCTCACTCCCGAATACATCCAGTCTTCCATTTTGCAGCATCTCCCCTCTTTAAAAAATAGTTGGGAAGCAGTAGCTACTATCAACAAGGAGTTTCCTAGGATTCACCTTGAGGACAAGGTGAAACTTCATGGAGGGGGTATTGATAGGTTTAGTGGCAAGGTTTATGTGAGAAGAAATAGAGGAGGCAAGTAGTTATAACTTCCTAGCAGGTAGTTATAACCTCCTGCAGTTGAGTTGTGTTATTATCTTTTATATTTTGTTTATGCTAGATTATTGTGGGAGGTTTTTAGTTTGCTAAGGGGAAAATCTGGAGAGACCGGTCCTCTCAAAAGACCTGGAAAATTGTATGATGATGTTTTCTGTTTTTACCACTTTGGTAGAACAGTTTGTGGTTTCTAATTAAGTTCTTTTGTGTAATCTGTTTTACATCTATTTAGTGATTTCTGAATACCTATCACATTGCATGCTATTATAAGTTTAAAATCCATATTTAACATAGCCACGTGCAAGCACTTAAATAACATTTCAGATAGCCTAACATTAAATGCATTTAATCCGCGGGACTTGATATATTAAACCAGGGCATCACAATAATAACTATTTCCATAGAATAATCAGTAACCACTACGATTACCTTCAGCGATGTTGCCAAGATTGGAATGAGGTGTGTCTCGTTGTTGAATTTGAATCCATCAGAAGAAACAGTCCTGTACACGATGAACCAGACGAAAATGATAAACCCAAAATAATGATCAAGAAAGCTAACAGACAATGCATCTCAACAACAGTGACAGAACCTGTCCAAGTGAATTGCCAAAGTTGGGATCCGCATTATAGGTTCCTCAATCCTAACAAGATGATGCGAGTATGAAACAGAGCCTGCATTCTCTTCTCGAACAATGACCCTCCCCGCCACAGTCAAGTCTCGGTCAAACCACGTGTGCCACAAACCACCTCCATAGATTTGAACACCTACCTCCAAAATCCCACCCTTAACCACCTGCACAACACACACCACTAATTAAACATGTCTTCCACTGCATCCATATAATAACATATCAAACTCAAAATCCAATACACTAATTATGAATTCAAATTTATTTGAGTAAACAGAAACTCCATCCTTGAGGTTGGTGAGTGCTGTCACATCATTCTCTGAATAAAAAAATTAAAAAAATCTTGAAAACTATCTATCTCAATCACATTAGTCCAACACATTTAACTTAAATGATAATATTAAAATAGAGTAAACGATCACTTTGAACCCCTAATTTCCTGAATTGAAGGAAATTAGAAAAAAAAATCCTCAAAGTGTAAACTTATATAACCCAGATTCTATGGAAACCAAAAGTGTATTATTGATAGAAAAAGTGAGGAATAGTATAACCATTGTACCCAGAGAAAAGCTCCTCATAGAAAAGATCATTCTCTCTCTCCCCAACCCATACGGTTTCTAACAAAAAAGTTACAGAATGAATTACAAGCATTTCCCTCTCCCTTCGCGTACCCCAACTAACTGCCACCTCAGCAGCTCTTCTCAAAGTACTCTATTCAACTCAGTTGCTTGTTCAGGCCCAAACTCAATATCCTTACATAAACCGAGAATCACATAAATCTACATTTCAGAAAACGTGTCACTAAAGAGATAGTGAGTAATCAAACTGAGGAACTTACTCGACATCTTAAAGAACTTATTTAACATTTCATTAATCACAGTGACTAACATAACTAGACCTACTAAAGTGGTTGTTTTCACTCTGTTGACATGCTTTCAGGGACCAAAATGACAATAGCTGCTTAAATCGTATACTTAGATTAAACCACTTACAAATACCTATCTGACATTTTTCTAACTTTACTACTACGACAGACCCAGAACTTGGGAACCTAAAATAGAAATCTGTTACCTTGGAGACAGGCTTGAGTTTGAGACATGGACTATCCGTGTGAGCGCCAATTATGTAGAATCCATTTCCAGCAACGTACCTGAGAAGAAGTTGAAAAGGGAAGCACCATTAGGAGTATTGGTGTTGTTTCGTGTTTGGTTGAAAAAGAGGGGGACGGAACGGAACGGAACGAACTTTTTGCCGACGGCGAATGCTACAACGGTGGAGTGGTTTCTGGTGAAGAAGTACTTGTGGCCAGGTTGCAGATCCCACAGTTCCCTCTCGGAAAGTTGTTGGAACCCCGCGCTCTTCAAACGCTTCTTCGCCTCATCTGAAACGAAGGAAGAAAGAGAGAATGAGGATTTGCGATCCGGCTAGTACAGAAGGAAAGGAGAGAGAGTTAGTTATGGTGTTACCGACGGCGTGGAAAGCCGTTGGAGAAGCGTTCAGGAAGTCGATAAAATCGGAAACGACGTCGTAGCTCTGCTGCTTCGCCATTGTCGTTCAGATGCTAACACTGGATCCGCGATTCTGAGACCCTAAAACCACATCTCGTTTTCACCGTAACGGATATATTGAAAATAAATAAAATAAAAAGCATTTAAACCGTGAACGTCTCCACGTTCCTTAGGATTTGATAGTTAGAAAAACAAGAATTGTTATTATTTATACCTAAATGTTGTTTCTATATTCTTTTGTCTATACCTAACTATTTTTTGTGGTGTGATTTTTAATTTCTCTAATATTTTTAATTAAAAATTATTTATTATTTAATAATTTAGAGAATCCACTAATTTGTTAATGCAAAAGTAATTATAAGATTCATCAATTCAAATATTAATTATGTAATTTTATCATCGTTAACCCTACAAAATTATATATTTCTTAAGCTTTTAAAATTATAATATTTTATTGTTGTGATGGATAAATTATAATAATTAAAACTTGTTTTATTATGTTAATTTATATGAAAAATATTAATTTATAATTAATGAGNTATAGAAATTGATTGTCATTTCATCAGAGAGAAGTTGTTGTCCAAGGATCTCATTACAGAGTTTGTCAATTCTAATGAACAATTTGCAGATATTCTAACTAAGTCTTTAAGAGGGCCTAGGATTCAGTTTATATGTTCCAAGCTTTTGCATATGATCTATATGCTCCAGCTTGAGGGGAGTGTTGAAATGTATTAAGTTTATGTTGTTTTGTGTGTGTGCACCCAACTTAAGAGGTGGGTTGTATTCTGTCATAGTATTTTATATATATAGAATACCAAAACCTTGTTAGGGTTAATGAATGAATAAAATGTTTCAGTTAGTTCTCTAACAAAACGGATGAATGGGAGACTTAGGAAGCCAAAATCCAACGTGATCCTAAGCTGGTTTCTCTCATCCACGAGTTATTGTTAAATTTGCGAGCACGTGCAGGGTATGAGTTGAAGAAAGGAAGATTGTTCTACCATGGGATACTGGTGTTACCCAGGAACTTTAGGAACTTTTCTCACATTCCTGGCATCATCATGAAGCTGCATGAGTCTCCTTTAGGAGGCCAAAGTGGGTACTTCAAGACATTTAAAAGGATAGCAGGCGTAGTCTACTGGGAAGGGATGAAACGAGATATCAAGAAGTTTGTGATGCAATGTGCGGTATGCCAATGCAACAAAACAACATTGGCCCCTGCAGGTCTATTACAACCACTGCCTATTCCTACACAGGTCTAGTTAGATATTTCTATGGATTTTATTAGGGGGTTACCCAAGGTGCAGGGCAAGGATACTATTTTGGTCGTGGTGGATTGGTTTACCAAATATGCTCACTTTTTGGCCCTCGCTCATCCTTTTACAACAATCCAAGTGGCTCACTTGTTCATCAAAAAAGTGGTAAAAAACTCCACGGGTTCCCTTCCAAAATAGTTTCTGACAGTGACAAGCTGTTTTTGAGCAATTTTTGTCGTGAACTATTTAGACAGGCTGGCACAAGTATAAGTTTAGCACAACCTACCATCCCCAATCAGATGGCCAAACCGAGGTTGTTAATCATTGTTTAGAGACTTATCTAAGGTGTATGAGAGGGTCTCAACCCAAGAAATAGCCATAGTGGTTGCCCTAGGCTGAATTTTGGTTTAATACCAATTATAGTGCCTATACAAAAATTCCCCTTTAAAAGCTCTCTATGGTCATGACCTTCGTTAATTTTCAAGGGCAATATTATTCCTTCTAAGGTCCAAAGTGTTAATCAACTCCAACAGGAACATGATGCACTCTTGAAGGAGTTAAGGGAAAACCTATGCAAAGCCCAACACCAGAATCGAATTCAAGCTAATAAGCATAGGCGAGAGGTGGAGTTTCAGATTGGTGACTGGGTTTATCTTAAATTGCAGCCTTATAGATTAAGGTCCTTGGCAAGAAGACCAGATGAAAAACTAAGTCCAAGGTTCTATGGCCTTTAAAAGGTGCTTGAACATATAGGGGCAGTTGCTTACAAGTTAGAACTTTCTGCTCACTCCCGAATACATCCAGTCTTCCATATTGCAGCATCTCCCCTCTTTAAAAAATAGTTGGGAAGCAGTAGCTACTATCAACAAGGAGTTTCCTAGGATTCACCTTGAGGACAAGGTGAAACTTCATGGAGGGGGTATTGATAGGTTTAGTGGCAAGGTTTATGTGAGAAGAAATAGAGGAGGCAAGTAGTTATAACTTCCTAGCAGGTAGTTATAACCTCCTGCAGTTGAGTTGTGTTATTATCTTTTATATTTTGTTTATGCTAGATTATTGTGGGAGGTTTTTAGTTTGCTAAGGGGAAAATCTGGAGAGACCGGTCCTCTCAAAAGACCTGGAAAATTGTATGATGATGTTTTCTGTTTTTACCACTTTGGTAGAACAGTTTGTGGTTTCTAATTAAGTTCTTTTGTGTAATCTGTTTTAAATCTATTTAGTGATTTCTGAATACCTATCACATTGCATGCTATTATAAGTTTAAAATCCATATTTAACATAGCCACGTGCAAGCACTTAAATAACATTTCAGATAGCCTAACATTAAATGCATTTAATCCGCGGGACTTGATATATTAAACCAGGGCATCACAATAATAACTATTTCCATAGAATAATCAGTAACCACTACGATTACCTTCAGCGATGTTGCCAAGATTGGAATGAGGTGTGTCTCGTTGTTGAATTTGAATCCATCAGAAGAAACAGTCCTGTACACGATGAACCAGACGAAAATGATAAACCCAAAATAATGATCAAGAAAGCTAACAGACAATGCATCTCAACAACAGTGACAGAACCTGTCCAAGTGAATTGCCAAAGTTGGGATCCGCATTATAGGTTCCTCAATCCTAACAAGATGATGCGAGTATGAAACAGAGCCTGCATTCTCTTCTCGAACAATGACCCTCCCCGCCACAGTCAAGTCTCGGTCAAACCACGTGTGCCACAAACCACCTCCATAGATTTGAACACCTACCTCCAAAATCCCACCCTTAACCACCTGCACAACACACACCACTAATTAAACATGTCTTCCACTGCATCCATATAATAACATATCAAACTCAAAATCCAATACACTAATTATGAATTCAAATTTATTTGAGTAAACAGAAACTCCATCCTTGAGGTTGGTGAGTGCTGTCACATCATTCTCTGAATAAAAAAATTAAAAAAATCTTGAAAACTATCTATCTCAATCACATTAGTCCAACACATTTAACTTAAATGATAATATTAAAATAGAGTAAACGATCACTTTGAACCCCTAATTTCCTGAATTGAAGGAAATTAGAAAAAAAAATCCTCAAAGTGTAAACTTATATAACCCAGATTCTATGGAAACCAAAAGTGTATTATTGATAGAAAAAGTGAGGAATAGTATAACCATTGTACCCAGAGAAAAGCTCCTCATAGAAAAGATCATTCTCTCTCTCCCCAACCCATACGGTTTCTAACAAAAAAGTTACAGAATGAATTACAAGCATTTCCCTCTCCCTTCGCGTACCCCAACTAACTGCCACCTCAGCAGCTCTTCTCAAAGTACTCTATTCAACTCAGTTGCTTGTTCAGGCCCAAACTCAATATCCTTACATAAACCGAGAATCACATAAATCTACATTTCAGAAAACGTGTCACTAAAGAGATAGTGAGTAATCAAACTGAGGAACTTACTCGACATCTTAAAGAACTTATTTAACATTTCATTAATCACAGTGACTAACATAACTAGACCTACTAAAGTGGTTGTTTTCACTCTGTTGACATGCTTTCAGGGACCAAAATGACAATAGCTGCTTAAATCGTATACTTAGATTAAACCACTTACAAATACCTATCTGACATTTTTCTAACTTTACTACTACGACAGACCCAGAACTTGGGAACCTAAAATAGAAATCTGTTACCTTGGAGACAGGCTTGAGTTTGAGACATGGACTATCCGTGTGAGCGCCAATTATGTAGAATCCATTTCCAGCAACGTACCTGAGAAGAAGTTGAAAAGGGAAGCACCATTAGGAGTATTGGTGTTGTTTCGTGTTTGGTTGAAAAAGAGGGGGACGGAACGGAACGGAACGAACTTTTTGCCGACGGCGAATGCTACAACGGTGGAGTGGTTTCTGGTGAAGAAGTACTTGTGGCCAGGTTGCAGATCCCACAGTTCCCTCTCGGAAAGTTGTTGGAACCCCGCGCTCTTCAAACGCTTCTTCGCCTCATCTGAAACGAAGGAAGAAAGAGAGAATGAGGATTTGCGATCCGGCTAGTACAGAAGGAAAGGAGAGAGAGTTAGTTATGGTGTTACCGACGGCGTGGAAAGCCGTTGGAGAAGCGTTCAGGAAGTCGATAAAATCGGAAACGACGTCGTAGCTCTGCTGCTTCGCCATTGTCGTTCAGATGCTAACACTGGATCCGCGATTCTGAGACCCTAAAACCACATCTCGTTTTCACCGTAACGGATATATTGAAAATAAATAAAATAAAAAGCATTTAAACCGTGAACGTCTCCACGTTCCTTAGGATTTGATAGTTAGAAAAACAAGAATTGTTATTATTTATACCTAAATGTTGTTTCTATATTCTTTTGTCTATACCTAACTATTTTTTGTGGTGTGATTTTTAATTTCTCTAATATTTTTAATTAAAAATTATTTATTATTTAATAATTTAGAGAATCCACTAATTTGTTAATGCAAAAGTAATTATAAGAATCATCAATTCAAATATTAATTATGTAATTTTATCATCGTTAACCCTACAAAATTATATATTTCTTAAGCTTTTAAAATTATAATATTTTATTGTTGTGATGGATAAATTATAATAATTAAAACTTGTTTTATTATGTTAATTTATATGAAAAATATTAATTTATAATTAATGAGCATTAATTATAAGTTTTATATTATTTTTATAATTTTAAACAATTTTTCTCACTTATTTTTTAAGTTAGTTTAAATGCATAATGATTTTATTTGTGCAAAAAGTTTCTTCAATTTAAGATGTTTATAAAAAGTAAAATCTAGTGGCATATTTGTAAATATAACAAAGTTAAATTTAAAAAAAAGTCAAATCACAACGTTTGGATTTAGAATCATCGTGGAATTGAAAAATCACGATGGTTTGATGAAGTAAACGTCATGAAATTGCTAACGAGGGTTAAAACTATTTTACCTTTTAACTTATGTGTATGCCTAATTCATCTTCCTGCCTTCGAAGCACACTGCATCATTATCTTTTCTTCATTCTTTTTCGTCATTCCATTTGTTGACCTTTTCGCACCACTAAAGTATCGTTGTTTCCTCACCTTATTGTGATTTTTGCCTTGCACCCAATCCTCGTGCCTTAGTGGTTTTGCGCAATATTCTCTACCATTGGCCCTCCTTTAGCACATCATTCATCGTGTTTATCTCTTCAAGCACGGAATGATGGCAATGTTCTAGCTAGGACAAGCCAAATCTAGAAGCAACCAAGGCAAGAAGAACAAGATGCTTAAGGTTTTAGATGGAGTGCGGAATGGTGATGGTATAAGGTGGAGGTTGTCACGATTTTGGGTGTTTGAATGGTGATTGAAGGGTGTGTTTGGTGGTTCTTTAAGAGAGGTTGGGTCATCTCTTAGAGGAAGGTGACTAGAGGAGACCACTTGGGTTGCTCTAGCCTAGGGTGACCTTAAAAGAGTAGTATGGCACAAAAATGGCAGGATAATTGTACTTTAAATCAAAGGTGATTACATGATGGAGGGCACCTCTATTTATAGGCTACAGTGTCTCAAAATGGACATAAACTTTAACTTGAAGGAGCCACCTTGGTTGGCTTAGAGAGCAAGGAGAAATCCTCTCCAATAGGAAGGAGACAAGTGGCAAAAATTCTCTCAAATGAGAGAGTGACATGTGACCACTACTTATGGAAAAACTCTTCATTCCTAGAGTAACACATGGTCACTAACTAGGAGGAAAACTCTCCAATGGAAAGCCTCCACATGCCTAGGACGACATCTTTCTTCCTTGTCCTCCAAGCTTAGCCAAAATGTTGACCCCTTGGTCAACACACCCATTTTGGATGTCCAAGCATAGTCAACTTTGGGCTTTGACCTTTGTTGACTTGTTTGGTCAAAATCCTATTATACTTGGCATAAAATACAAGGCCTAATTGAAATTATACATTACTAGACCCATAATACAAAGTCCGAATAAAATCTAGACTACTTCGTCCAAAATATAAAGCCCAAATAAAATCTAGACTACTTCACCCAAAATACAAGGCACAAAATTATTCTTACTCTACTAAATTTTCATGATGACTTAAGATGGCCCAAGAGAAAGAGTTTAGGCTCATCTTTCATAGATGCCTCTAAATCTTCCATAGATGCCTCTAAATCTTCATGAATGTGCTAGGTCATGGCAAGGGGTATGCCATCAGTTTGTCTTCATAGTTTGTCGTTCTTCTTCCTTTTCATTCATTGTCGGTCTCTTCGTCTTCATTCCTTCTGTCTTCATTCCAGGTGAGTATTTTTTATATTGTTTTAATTTTTTTAGGCTTAATACCCTCTTTGGTCCCTAGTTTCAGTGGTTAATGTCAATTAAGTCCCCATTTATGAAAGTGTTTTTAATATGTCCAAAGTTATTCAAATTAGTATCAATTTTGTCCCTTCCGTTAACTAGTAGGAAACAGAGTTAATGCGTTGATGATGTGGCAGTAATTATTGGCAATGTGGTAATAGATTGTTGTGTGTGTGGTGACGTGTATGTTAGTAAGTGAAGTACCCCTAAACGTGGGGAGGACACTGATCTAGGGCATAGAAAAAACCAATAAGGGTCTTCTTCTCCATTACGGCACAGGAACAGTGGTAGGGTTAGGTCTTCTTCTTGAAATTTGTCTTCTTCTCCTCTGTGTTGTTATTGTTTACGGTTTAGATGTTACTGTTGTGAGTTGGTAGTAAGGTGGTGGTTCGTCTTTGGCGGTTCGTCTTGGGCGAGTTCGTGTTTGGTCGTTCATAGTTGGTTGGCGAAGTGGTTCATGGTTGGTGGTTGTCTCGCTTTGAGCTTCGCGACGTACTGGCAATGTCTTTCAATCAAGGTTGTTCGTCTTGCTCATGGGGGAGCTTCGTGGTGCTTCATCGAGGGGATCTCGTTGCAAACCCAAATATGCCATTGCGGGGAGGTTGCTGTGTGAGAGTGGCAAGAACAGTTTAAGAACCAGGGGAAGCATTCTGGGGCTGCCCTAATTACAGGTTTGTAGTTTAATTTTTTGTTATAAAATTTTGGTGATTAACTAAATGTTTTGGTTTGGATACTTTGAACGCGGACAAGAATGAGAATTTTTAAGGATGGCAAACTTCTTTAAATGGCGTAATGATAAATGTAGATGATGGTGGTAGTATTATTGCTTGGCAAAGAGAAAGATTAATACTCTTGAAGAAACCTTAGGGTTTGTCAAAAAAGGGAGAAGATGTGGTTAGGGAAAAGATTCACACTGAATGTTTACAAAGAAGCCAATATGGCTATAATACTTAAGCTAAAGTTGATCATATTGTGATGTCAATGTCAAAATACAAGTGAAGTTGTATATAACTTCTAGTCCTGTTGTAGATGGTTGGGTTTGAGGGTTCCTGACTTGGTCCTGAAGTTGCATGGGTTTCAGGTTGCTGACTTGCTTCACATTGGTTTGTTGGATTTCGTTGTGGGCATTGTATTTCTTTTGTGACCAAGTTGTCTGCATATGGAACATCTCTTACGAGTTCCATTTTGCTTTAGCTGTGTCCATCCTTCTTCAGTTCCAAGCCTCTAGCCTTCTCTTCTTTTGTTGGTCTACCAGGTAAGTCCTTTTAGGTGGGGGCAAAACATCAGGCTGAGATGTGATTTCCACAGTTGATGACCATTGACAAGGTATATGATTGGGATGTATGTTTTCGTTGGTATGTGACCTTCTAAACCCATTGGCAGTAGTTTTCTCCATTGATGTTTAAGAAATTGTGCAGCTAATGCATGACAGCATGGCATGCTTGTTAAAGGTCCACTTTCTTACAAGTACAGTCCAATGGTCTTATGTCAACCACATACTTCTCCCCAATCATTGAAGTGTGTCACCTAAAAAATTTTCTACTCCTGACCAAACTCAATGACAACCAATATTAAATAAGGATATATAATAAAAATTAACATCAACATAAATCCAAATTCTTATGTGCAGATGTTTCACATACCTAGGATCCAAAATTGAGTCATGTGCAATTCCTTTTGAAATCTTTTTTTATCTTTTTGGGCAAAGATGACCTTCAAGGTTTATTTTTATCTATTTGTTGACCATCTCTTCATGAGATACAAACGAATGTCTTCCATCATTGATGATGGACTTACCTCTTGCATGTATATGACCTGTAAAGCTTCAGACATATTGATTCACTAAGGTGTCACATACAGCTCTACCGTAACCTGAACGTGACCAAAATCTAATTACAGAAAAAAAATAGTTACATATATCAACTAGGCAAACAAACAAGAAGAATGGTTCAATATATGTTACCCTTGGTGGAATTGATAGCACGTTTAAATGCTTTGGATTGTATCTTTAATATCTCTCATCACTGCCCAATGACTGCAGGGTGTGTAGATGAGGTTGCCTTCCATATAGACGCTTAGAATTTGGCCAGGAATTTCTTCTAAAAATTTGCATAAATGTGGCGAACACAAAATCTTGCTCCACACCAGGGAGAAGTTTATGTAATGCTGGCGAAGTCCCTATTAGAGTTCCAAACATGAAGTTATACTGTAAAACCAAAACAAGAAGCTTTGAAGATATATAACAGCATTGGGCTTATGTTACTTTTGTTGATCTGAAATATAGTGTTACTTGAACACGCTCTACACCACCAAGATCATCAATGAGCAATGTAAAACCAATGCAACTGTCCTTATTCTCCACTTCAACAATAACATATGCCAAGGACACATTTGGTCATTCCCATCTCTTGCAACTTCAGTTAACAACTCACCTCCATATTTTCCTTTTAAGAAACAACCATCTAAACCTATATAGACCTACAAGACACAAGTTGTCTTTACAGGCCTTCAACACACATACATTCTCTTAAATTGATTGTCCTAATTAGTGTTCAACCATTTACTTTCACAGTTGAAACCAGGATTAGACGGCGGAGCAATTCATTTGCATAATCATAAAACTCTTATATTTGTTCTTTAAAATCACCTCAATTCTTTTAAAGCCATTTGTTGTTTGCCCTCAAGGTATAAGTAGACGAAGAAACACCAATGTTCCACTTCTAGAAACTTTGTTTGGAGGTTATATAGATTAATATTGGGATTCTCTTTGATGGTCTTTTCTAACCTCCCACTCAACCATTTTGAAGTCATTAAACGAATGTTAAATTCTCTACTGCATGTGGTGCTTGTCTATACTTCCTCAACTGCCATGTATCTTCAGCTGCTTTATATGCACAATTGCATACCATGAACTTTACCTTTTGCCCC